AGCCCTGTAGCTGAGTCGCCACCGCCCTCTCAATCAGTTTGCCCCAATAGGGCAAATTGGACACCGGCCGATAGCTGGCCAATTCAGCCGGGTCCAGAGTTGACTTTTTCAGGAGAGGGCGGACCATCGCTTCCTTGAGTGCCTTGGGGAACCGCCCCTCCAAGAGGGACTTGTTGACAATCTCCCTCAAGGCACCTCGAAACCCCTCGTGGCCCGCTTTGATGAGCCAAGAGGGGCACAGATCAAGGCTGCAAGTGGTTGGACGCACAGATACAAGCAATCTATCAATTTCCTCCAGGCTGAGCCGGTCAAAGCCCTCTAAACCCGGCGAAGCCGTGCAAGGGGCCTCAAGTTTGATGTTGCCTCCTGGTTCTGGTTCCCCTCAGTCACCATGGCTGGTAGCCACTGATACACGTATATTACACTTGAAAGATGGGTGGACTTCTCCCCTACTCAACATGTGATTCATTATTAACCCAGGAAAAATGGACCAAATCACCCAGAGATCTTCTGAAGGATGCTATTGATGTACATGCCAATTATTTTTAGCCAGTGATTTGTATTTTTAACATAATGGGGAAATCAATTACATAGGACAATCAATTAAAGTCAGTTAAAGAAAACAAATATTTTTGCATGCCAATAATGCCAACAGGCACCTGCTGGGGCTTAGAAGGCTCCAGGGCCAGGCTGTGGCCATCTGCTGTGCCAAAAGGGATTGTGCGCCCTTTCCACTGTTCCCAATGTGCCTGCTATTTATTTAATTTTTTTTTTAAATTATGCCGTCTCTCCAGGAGCCTGCCCGAGATGGCATACAAAAAATAAATAATGCAAAAAAATAATAATTAAAAGCTATTAAAATCCAGCATTAAAAAAAACGAGCCCAGCATAAAAGCACAGGCGATAAAAACAGACCACTGAAAGCTTAAAAGAACAGTTTCCAGACTAAAATGGTATCAAAGGATCCTTAATTAAAAGCATGGATGAATAGAAGCAGTTTGGCATGGTGCCTTAAAGGGGGCGATGTCAGCACCGGGCAAGCCTCAAGAGGAAGGGCATTCCAGAAGTGAGGTGGAAAAGGCCTATCTCTGGTAGCAGCCCACCTCACCTCTGAAAGTGGGGGCACAGAGCGCAGGGCCTGAAAGGCAGATCTTAATTGGCAGGATGGACAGTAGAGGAGGAAGCAGTCCTTCAAGCACCCTGGCCCCATGCTATTTGGGGCTTTAAAGATAAGAGTCAGCACTCTGAATTGGCCCTGGAAACTAATGGGCAGCCACTGCAAGTCTTTCTGCAGTGGGCACCCTTTCTGCACTCTTCTTTTAATCCATGTTCACTGCCGTGTTCTCCAAGCAATTCTACACTAAGATCGAATTTAACCTTCTTTTTAATCCAGTCCCCCCACCCCAATTCTGCACTAAAATTGAATTCAACCTTCTTTTTATTCCAGGTTCCCCCCTCCCCCCAATTCTGTATTACCTTCATTCAGTGGTCAGCTCGGTTTCAGCCTGCTGTTGCCCCAAGTTATTTTGATGCTGTTTTGCTGTGGATTTAGGCCCAATCTGCATCTAGCATTTGCCCCACTGTTTTACCAAACCCATGCTGGAACATAAATTCCCCTCTGCATTGCATGCCACTTTCACTTTGATTTATTGTCGGATTTTATGGCAGTGTCCAGACTGCATGCTGCTTTCACTTCGTTTGATCTCTCGGTTTTATAATCATAATAATCTTTCAATGTATTGATCGCTCAATCCATGCAGAGCTGCCGGCTCTGAGCGATTTACAGTTACTCATGAAATTCACATGGGACTAACAATGCTGGGGGTAAGGGAGGACAACATATATCATTTAAATCGCACACATTTTTGCAGTCGTCGAAATATGGTTAGCTGTAAGGTCCAGTCGTGTTCCGGCAGCACTACGTTTATGGTAGCCATCTGCATAGATTTATGACCATTCAGGGGTGACTCTGCAGTCAGTATGGCATTGGCCCGGGGGATATATAAATGTGGTTTCGAGCAGCATCTTTTTCTGTTCCGGTGCGGATTTGGTAAAACAGTGGAGCAAAAGCTAGATGCAGATTGGGCCTTAAACTGCCTTGACTTGAGCGCTGAATGCAGAAAGGACCCCTCCTGTCTCCCATAGGTGGCTGCCGCATTTTGAACGAACTGAAGTTCCCAGACTGTTTTCAAAAGCAGTCTCATAGAATCACCCAGGGAAACGGTTTGATCCAGGATGAATACATGTGCGGCGGGCACAGAGTCCTCTAAGATATTATCTGACTAGTAGTTGTATATAGATGCCCTTGGTTGCGGCAGCCAAATGCAGCTACCCCTCCGGAACAAATTAATTATGAATTATGCAAAGTTGTACTTTCTTTGGACCTTGAAATCTCCAGCAATTAATTTCGCCACATCCCTTCTAGAACAATGAAGAGACAAATCTCAAGGGTGCTGCAATTATAAGTAAGATCAATGGCTCATTTTCCAGAGAATTTTCAGATGTGTCAGGTTCACCTGTAATTATATGAACAAACTTTTAAGGAGCCGGGGGAGGGGATGTTGCTCATGCAGTCCCTTCCTGCCTCCTTCTCCCACCATGCACCATGAACCTATTTCCAGGATTTTGGCAAACCATAATTTGCTTTTGCCATCAATTCTGAGCCAGTAAACTTTGGTTTGTACTGGGACTGCTAATCAGGATTCCTAATTCTGAATTGTTCCCAGGCTGGAGTCCCAGTTTGTAAAACAAATCTGGCTTGGGAATTCAAGTGTAACCACAACATATGGATTACTGAAAGCCCAGGAATAACCCATATGAACATGTCACATGAGTGACAAAGGGAAAGACGAGAGGATTCCACATGCTCCATAAAGACTCCATAATAAGGCTTATTCACATAGCTTCAAACAATGATTTAGCATCATAGCAGAACAAAACCATAAAGGCAACTGTGTGAGCCAAGGAAATGGACAACCATCTGGGGATAGATTTTAAAATCCCTTGAAGAAGAATAATGAGGCTGGGAACTCAGCAGCTTGTCTTCAGACAATGGTTTTCAATAGCATCACTGGGATATCGTGTAAAAAAGAAGAATGCATTTCTTGGGCAGCTGCTGAGATATAAACATGGAATATCTTTTGTTGAAAAACTAATGGTCCCTCTCCTGTGGGTTATTTCCTTACCTGTGAACCAGTCTCTGACGAGCAATCAAACCCACTCTCTGCAGAAATGGAGAAACAAAATTTGAACAAAGTGATACCCAAGACAAAAATAGACCAAAAACACTCAACCGATATTATTTTGCCCCGAGTTCTATACCTTTTTATTGATTGCAAGGGTTTCAGTCAAGTAATCTAACCAAAAAATTGATTAGCAGCTGCTAGTTGCACCTAGACTGATCTTGTTAGAGCCTGAAACCTAAGCAAAGTCAGCCACAGTCAGTATTTGGATGAGACACATCAAGAAGACCAGGGTTGCTATGCAGAGGAAGGCAAGGGCCAATCACCTCTGCTCATCTGTTGCCTTGAAAACCCTATGATTCTCGGGGCCACCATAAGTCAGATGCTACGTGACAGCACATTACTACTACTACTACTACTGCTGCTGCTACTGCTACTGCTACTGCAGCACTAATGACCCATGGCCACACAACTGTAAGAGCAAAAACTGATGTCAGGGCACAGAATTCAGGATCCTGAGGACCCCCACGGGCTTTTAAAAAAGCAAATCCGTAGTCCTTATGGATGTGCCATGCGTAAAATGCCTGGGCACTCCCTGGAAAAATCTCAAAAGACAGAGAAAACAGTAGCTCTGTTCAGAAATCATGCAAAACTGTGGTTTAATTAAACGAACCGTTAATATAATTTCCTGAATGCAATCCACCACTAACTATGATTATTAAGGGTCCATCAGTCTAGGAGCTGAAGTCCAGATCTGAAGCTGGTTTCACAAATCAATCATCATTAAATCATGGTTTTACATTATGTCTGAAGTAAGCTTGTGACTCTGTACTACAGTTCCCTCGACTGTCTTGGCAAATGTTGGGATATTTGGAAGGCAATGTCTGGGATTGCGCAGAGTTCGATAAGGGTGTGAAGTCACTTCTGGACAATGCTCTTGGCTACACCCCCTAGTCTCTATGGTCTTTACCACAGAAACTAGAGGAATTCCTAGAGCTTTGCTATCTGGAAGCCATTTTTTTCTCCCATTCCTCAGTTCCTTGGGGATGGGAAACTGGAGCTGGGTCAGTTATATGGGAGGCCTACTCAATGTCCTATTCTACATTAAGGAAGTGCATTTGTTTGGGAACAATAAGAAAAGAATTTGCACGACAAGTGCATCGGATATACACATGTGATCTGCCCCTTACCTCTTTTCTTCCACTTCTTCAGGGCACTCCGAAGCAAACGCTTCAGGGGTCGGCTCTTGGTCTGCGTGGCATAGCGGAGAGCATCAAGCCCTGTCTTATCTATCAGCCCTACATTGGCCCCGTTTTGCAGAAGCAGCTCAGCGGATTCCATGCTGCCACTCTCACAAGCTAGAATGAGGGCGGTTCTATACAGAGGAGAAAGAGAAGATTTCTGGAGCAGATATCATTTCTTCCCTAGGTATTCCCCAGGCATCTTTCAACACAATGCAGCAAGCCACACATGCCCCATAGGTTCTCCTAAACTTCCAGGCTGTTTTTCCAGATCCACGGGGAATGTGCCTGAAGTGCTCCAGCTCCTGGGCGGGGAATGGGTTAGCACTGAGGGCCACACAGGGTCAGAACCAGTGATGAAGGCAGAGGCTGCTGCTTGCCATAAAGCACGACCCAACATTTCCATTCTCCCTCAACCTTGAGAGTTGTCATAGGATGTATTCTGTCAAGGTTATGTTTATCTGGTCCAGAGATCCAGCATGGTGTAGTGGTTAAGAGCAGCAGACTCTAATCTGGAGAACCAGGGTTCGATTCCGCACTCCTCCACAGGAAGCCAGATGGGTGGCCTTGGGTCAGTCACAGCTCTCAGAGCTTCCTCAGCCCCAAAAAACCAAGTCTAGCTCACTAAAAGAGTTAGAACTTAAGGCTGCCAGACAATCTTTGGATCTCCTGGCGATACCACCACACAATGCCATACAACAATTATTTTAATTACCTGGTCCTTTCCCTATGAAGTTCAATTTGGTGTACATGGTATTGGCCCCCCAATTCCGTTTTATCCTCATAACAGCCTCACAGCCATGCAAGACAAATAACGTCAGGAAGGTTGTTGCCTTCATATCCTACTTGTTGGCTTCCATGAAGGCCTTTGGGCAGCCATTGCTGCGTAAGCAGAATTGCCACTTGGCTGGGAAATGGGCCAGACAGGCCAGTTTGCATTACTCACAACGGCTTGCCAAGAGGATAGTTCCCAAAAGGTCTGGAGAAAAAAATGTCTCTAATGTGTGGAAATGGTCAGCTAAAGCTTTTCATGACATGGAGGTAAATAATTTCCCATTAAGCCTCAAGGGCAGGACATTTTTCCTCCAGGCCTGTTGGCAACCTGGGGAAAGCTTGGGCATTTATATGAAGAAGCCAATTCAGGCCTGCATCAATGTCCTCACTTGCTTTCTTCAGGCTTTTTAAAAACAGTGTGTTGCCAGGGTGACAAAAACTGTGGCCGAATTCTCATAAGAGTTCAAAAAACAGAAAGCCAGCCTTGATAACTGTATTTAAGCAAGGCTAGAAAAAGCAAGTGGGTATAAAGAAGAAGAAAAATGGCTGAGGAAAAGCCAAACTGGAGTCCCAAGGCAAAGATAAGGAAGAGTCTCTGTGTGTGGAGTGAGTGCACTAGTGTCCGGGGTGTTTGTCTGTATTTTTGCTATGGGTGTCTCTCTAGGCTGTCTTAGTTTGCTTTTGTTTTTGGAGGGTTTTGGTGTGGTTGTGTTCAGGGTCTCAGAGGTAGCATTGCCAGCCAGCTGGAGTCGGGGAGAGAAAGGGACATGGGGTGTACTGTTGGCATAACAGGTAAAACCATAGAGTTTCCAGCAATTCCTAGAGTGGAGTGACATCACTTCTGGGATTTCTCTGAAAGTGACATTAGCGCCATCACGCCAACAGCAGTCTTTTACTTTTTATCCCACTGGCTGACAGAATGGCAGCAGGGAACAGGAGTTGAGCGTGGAAAATCTCCTACCCACAGAGAGTGACTGGCAACTCTACTTGGAGGTGAGCGTGCTTGGAGTGTGTATGGGGGCTTGTGGTATGTTTGTCAGATAGCTGTTTGGATATCATTTATGGGTACTTTGGTTGGTGGGATTTGTAAGCACAACCAATAGCTGTGCACTTTACAGCAACAGAGTGTTTTCTGTTGGCCCTGTTACCCTTCTGGACCCATCTTAGGTGGGTGGTCCTTAGGCTGGTCTTTACCCTTGGATAGGCCTCATCCCTTGCTCAATTAATGCTTCCTAAGAGTTGACACTGGTATGGACAAGATGGCCCTTTGAACGGATTCAGCAGGGGCTCTTACGGCTAGGGATGGGCATAAACCAGCTGATGAACTAAAGTTTGTCACAAATTTTGGGCTATTTGGGGTTCACAAACTGAAGTTCATGAAGTTTGTGAACTGGAGAACCAGGACGAACTTCTACAAATTTTGGCACAATTTGTGGTGGCTCATGACAGTTTGTGAAGAGCAAAGAGCAGGGGTTTACTCCTGCTTTCTGCTGTTCAGAAGAAACAGCTGAGTGACTGGGAGCACCCCACTGCTCAGCTGCTCGGTTTAAATGGCTCAGAGCCATTTAAACCACCACTGCTTTCTGCTCCCTGTGGCTTTCTGCAGGGAGCAGAAAAGGGGTTTAAATGGCCCTGCATTCTGCTCCCTGCAAAAAGCCATGGGGAGCAGAGAGCAGGGTTTAAATGGCTGGGAGCTATTGAAACACTGCTTTTAGGTCCCTATGGATTTTCACGGGGAGCAGAAAACAGGGTTTAAATGGAAGGGGTGAAGTGCCTTCCCGGGTGCACTTGACCCCCACCTTTTAGCTGGCTGTGGCTCACCACAGCCAGCAGAAAGGAAGGGGGGATGTGCTTTTCAGGCCAGCAGAAAGGAGGAGTGAAATACCCCCTTGGAAGCAGTTCACCCCCATATTTAATCCTCTGCTTTTGCTCCCCCCTCTACTTCAAAGCAGCAGGGAGCAAAACCAGAGGGTTAAATGGCTGTGAGCTTCAGTGAGAGGGGGGGAGCAGAACCAGAGGGTTTAAATGGCTCACAAACCTATACAAACAGTTCATGTAGGTTCAGGGTTCGGTTTGTGGGTCAGCCATGGACCACAAACCAAACTGCAAAAATGTGGTTCATGCCCATCTGTACTTAACGCCTGTTACTTCCTGGTCGTTCCTCCTCTTGTAGATTATACTGAGGATTCCATCCACTTGATCACATCCACTGCTCATGCCAGACAGACAAGAAGAAGAGTTGGTTTTATACCCTGCTCTTCACTACCCAAAGGAGTCTCAAAGTGTCTCACAATCTCCTTCCCTTCTTCTTCCCACAATGGGTACCCTGTGAGGTAGGTGGGGCTGAGGGAGCTCTGAGAGAATTGTGACTGGCCCAAGGTCACCCAGCAGGCTTCATGTGGAGCAGAGGGGAACCAAACCCAGTTCTCCAGATTAGAGTCTGCTGCTCTTAACCACTGCACAAGAAACAAGATACTTACTTTCCATCTTTGTCAGTGAGGTCAACTTTGGCCCCTCTCTGGAGCAACTGGGAGCAGATGGCAGGATGGTTCCCCTGAGCAGCAACCATCAAAGGTGTCTGTCCGTTCTGGAAGGAGAGAGACAGAGAAAAGAAGTTAGAAGCCTTACTTTGTTATTAAAATGACAAATAAAAAATGAGCATGGCCTCCAGTCATTTGGTGGATGAGCAGCTTGTTCTTCAAGCCCTTATTTTTTTGGGGGGGCAAACCCATTAACTATTCCTTAGGAGGCAACAAACTGATTTCAGGATTCAGAAGACCAAGTGAGCTAAGCTTGCCTTGATGACAAGCTGAAATGTATTTATTTATTGGTGTAGTGGTTAAGTGTGTGGACTCTAATCTAGGAGAACCGGGTTTGATTCCCCACTCCTCCACTTGCACTTGCTGGATGACCTTGGGCAAGCCATAGTTCTGGCACAGCTGTTCTTGAAAAAGAGCAGTTTCTGTCAGAGCTCTCTCAGCCCCACTTGCCACACACAGGTTGTCTGTTGTGGGGAGGGGAAGGGAAAGGAGATTGTAAGCCGCTCTGAGACACCTTTGGGTAGTGAAGGGTGGGGTATAAATCCAATCTCTTCTTCTTCGTTATACCCCACCTTTCTTCCCAAAGATGGCCCAGAGAGGCTTACATCATTCTTGTCTCCTCCAGTTCATTCTCAGAACAACCTTGTGAGGTAGGTTAGACTGACAGTGTGTGACTGGCCCCAGGTCAACCAGCAACCTTCCATGGCATAGTGCAAGTTCTAATTTTGGGTCTCCCAGATTGACAGTCTATCCAGTACGTCACACTGTCCGTGTTGTTACTTGATTGCACCCATTTTGCCCTGGACATTCCAGACAGATGTTGTCATTAAATAGTTCCGTGTTATATACAGAGGTGTCTCAGATTGTATCTGCAGTCCCCACAACACAAGAGAAAATAATATACTTCCTCTAGAGCCCGTGGTCACAAGGTTTGGGGGCAGGAAGCAGCTTTGAATGAAGAGAAATCAGGTTTGTCAAGGAGGTGAGGCCAAGGGAGATGGGCCCAGCGGCCTCCATCCCTGTCCCTGTATACAGCCTACAATCTTAGAACAGCTGCAGGGGGCTTGAAAGTACAGGGAGCCCAGCAGGTCATCTTTTTCTTTTTTAAAAAAAATCTATTTTATATATATCTTTATTCAACCCGATAAATTACAAAATTCATATACCAAACGTAAGATAACAAATTTAAATATACAAACATAGCACATGAAGGAAATGCCAAATACTTGATAGAACAAGGATTCCATCTCTCCCAAGGCCATCACCACTTGCCATTTGCGGGAAGGGAAATATCTCAGGCAAGTCAGTTTAATAACGTCAATTTAGTCCAGGCCTTCTCTCCCAAGGCCATCACAACTTATTTTTTGCAGGTAGGGAAATAACTCAGACAAGTCTGTTTATTAACATCGATTTAGTCCAGTCCGATAACCATCTTGTCTGGTCGTGTCGGGACACAAAGCTAAAAAAGGGAATCCACACAGCCTCAAAATTAATAGAATAAGCACAGGCACAGCCTATAAAATATGCAGATCCAGTCTCGAATGCAGGCACCAACTGATGCGCTCGAAACAGCAAGAACTTTTTCATTCCGACCAGGATTTCAAGTAATGGAAAGGAACTTCGTAACCTCGCACTTTGATTTTGTTTCTTAATTAATTTCAGGGACGCTGAGAAAATGCCAAACAGAAAACATAGGGTAAGAGAGAGAAGGGGCAAAATAAGGGGGGGGGAAATCCCAAAGAAAATAAAAGGAGAGATAAAAGGCAGGAGAAAATGAATTCTTAATTATTTATTAGATGGTTCATTCGCTCACACCTGCATTCCTGAGTTACTGTTTTAACCCCCGAGGTTCGTTCCACAAGCTTGACCTGAGTTGCAGCGTTAGACGATTTCCTTTGCTTTTGTCATACCTCATTAATTTCATCTGCTGTGTTTTTTTTTAAAGGACTCAAGGTAGAAACGATTAAATGTATCAAGATGCTAGCTGATCAGTCTCCTGGGAGACTCCTCTTCTGACAATCAAAGGAACAGTGAGCCTTCCTCAAGCAAGATAACAATGACGGTAGGCTGTGGTCCTGGATGTGGTACTTATCTGTCAGTGCGGCAGGCAGTCGGCAAAGGAAATACTGCTCCTCTCAAGGCCGAATCCTCTGCAAAACCTATGGGCAATAGCTCTCTGTAGGGTTATGAGATGTTTCAGAGTTGACATGTTCCATTTCCCCAGACCTTGGTGGGCTGTCCCTATCTTCTTTTCTTTTGCTGAGTGATCTTGGGTGCTTTGTACCAGAGTTCTTTTGAGTGGCCTGACTGCAGTGGCCAGATAATAAATTACTCCTGTACCTTCAATTGTCGAGTGCTTGACAGGAAAAGGCTGTGGCTCAGTGGTAGATAATCTGACGGGCATGCAGAAAGTCGCAAGTCTGATTCCCAGCACCTTCAGTTAAAAGAACTTGGTAGCCGATGATGTGGATAGGGTTGCCTGCTCCGGATTGGGGAATACCTGGACATTTTGAAGATGGAGCTTGAGAATGGGAGGGACTTCCATGGGTTATAATGCCATAGAGCCCACCTTCCAAAGCAGCCATTCGCTCTAGGGGAACTGATCTCTGTTGCCTGGAGATCAGTTGTAATCCCAGCAGATCTCCAGCCACCAGCTGGAGGCTGGCAACTTTAGGTGCATTTCAGTAGTCCACTGCTGAAAGAAGTAACAGTAGAGTACAGTGATACTGAATTCCTGGTTCTTTACTTGCTGTGTGAGTTTACATTGGGTCTGGAATCAGGGACTGGGGTTTAGCATATTCTCCAGCTCTCCCACTTTACTAGGGTCAGTCTCAATTACTTGACCCTCTCTCTGCTCAATCACTGCCCCTATTTTTGCCCTTGAGGAATCCTGCTCAAATTGTACTTCACATTTTATGGAAGGGCCTGAAGTGTCCCCCACTACCATGATCACCTAGCACTGCCATTCCCCTGATGGGGGTGGGGGTTTGCCCGCTTTTGCGCCCCAAGATCCACCAGCCCTGATCCGCCTGGTGGGGAGTACCCCACCCCCAAAGTCCACTGTCTGTGTAACGGCAGATAGCAGGGAGGGGTGAGCTTGGGGTTCACAATCTCCAGCCAGGTGACTTGGAAGATTTATTGCCTATTGTGTTCTACCAAGAGCAGGAGATCAAGTGGCGTAACTGTGAGCTGTACACCATGGAATTTGTAATGGCCAATTACTATTTTGATTATAAAATGACCAGAACCAATCAATGCTTTTACTTTGCTTTGTATAAAAACTTCTGCCTTCTGGAAGAAAGGCAGAGAACACTCTGGTCGCTGGTTGTGTTCTCTCTTATCTGTGTAGACAATAAAAGTACTTAAGAATTCTCACTGATTTGACTCTATTACTCTCTGAAGTAAATTGGTTCAGCTTTGGGGGGGGGGACTTGCTTTGAGTGCAACAGTGGGAAACCTATGTCTGTCTACCCAAGGGCACATGTGGGCTTCCCCAAATAGTGCCCCCGGGAATTTCCCCATGTGCACTATGATCCATTTCTTGAGCAAGCAGGTATCTGTCATTTTTTCACAGTTCAGCTCCTTCACCCGGGTTTCCAGAAGTTAGATTTCTGAATGTAGCCTGATGCTTGCTGGTTCACACACAAGAAGATCCGCAGTCTGCCATTTCACACACTGCAGCTGCTGAGATATGTTTTGAACTGTTGATAACTGATTGTAGAACAACTGTATATATTTTTTAAATCACATCTTTAAATAGTTGTGTTGCTTTCAAACCATGGGACAGGTGAAAAAGGCAGACAAAGGAATAAGCACATAGCAGAGCACAGAGTTCTCAGCAATGAGTAATAGCCACTGGGGGGGGATGCTTGTGCTGTAACCTTGGTTATAACAACAGTCTTGGGTCTATGGAATGTTGGGAGAAAGGGATTCCCCATAATTCCAGAGGGATAGTTGTGTTAAATTGGTTGCTGTGGCATCAACAGCGCCACCTCTAAGTTGTGGCCAAATGACAGAATTACAAGGAAAGTAGCTACATCAGCCTGGTAGATTTTTAACAAAAGACCAGAGGAAATTTGCTTCCTCCCCTCCCCCATTCACTCACTAGTCTGAGCAACATAATGAATTCTTTTCTTGCTGGCTACGGACAAACTTGGCGCCTCTCAGTGCCTTTAGCAGCCAAGTCTTACCCTGACTTAGCTTGTAAAGGAGAACTATACCCCCTGATTAATATTGTTTCGGTCACAGCAAAGAAACCCTACTGAGACTTACGTTGTCCGTGACGTCCAGGAAAGCTTCTTGATCGCACAACAGCAGCACGCTAGATGCACATCCTGAGACAGCTGCAGGGGGTGCGTGAAAAAGGGAGGGGGCTAGAGTTAACAGTTAAGTTTTTAAATATAGCTAGAATGATAGTTCCTTGTTTAGATAGCCGTCTCTTCTCTGACCAAGAGCCGTGGGTGATTTTTAGAAGCAATGCATCCTAGGAGCAATAAGGCATGTCTGTGTCCATGTTTACAAATATTAACCAGTAAAACTGACACCTCTGCTCATCTCTTGCCTTGGTCTTGGGGTTACTATTAGTGGGTTGTGTAACTCACCGGCATGCTTTACTATCACCAGTGGGATCTCCCATGCTCTGATCCCACTGGTGAACCAATGATTATTTTTATTATTTATTTAATTGGATTTCTATCCCGCCCTCCCTGCATAGCAGGCTCAGGGTGGGTTCCATCATAAAAACTATAGTTAAAAACAATTAAAATACATCAATTAAAATACCATTACTTGTATTCCCAGCTAGCACCTCAGCAGATGAGGTCTGATCCACTGAAGGGGAGGCCTGATAGAATGTGGATGCCCACTGCCTCAACTAAAAGCTTGACGGAAGAGCTCCATCTTGCAGGCCCTGCGAGACTGTAAAAGGTCCCACGGAGCCCTGATCTCATATGGGAGCTCATAGGGGAGACATCTGTATTCACTCAAGAGCCAAACAGAGAGCCTGTTTCCAGGTGCAAGAACAGCCCGACAACATCCATGTTCCATTTGTGGATTCCACCCACAGCATCTCCTGCAAGTACTGCTTAGAACACTTGAGATTTGTGCTGTTTCATAGCTCAGCAGCAGTTCCAAGGCCTGGTACGGGGTTGTGTTTAGCCCTGCCAGATGGGTTCCATGGGGTTCCATGGGGTTCCCACAGACCTGAAGCCACAGGCTTTGCAGCACAACTGGGCAAGTGAATGAAGAGCGAAGCAGTTGCTGTACTTGCAGGAAAGCTGAGGTGTCTCATATGGTGAACTGCTTCGTTGTTCAAAGCAGGATGAAGAGAGGTCAGCCTTGACGAAGGAATCTCTTGTTTGGAGTGAGACTCTAGATTCCCATTGGGCCCTAGTAGGAAGATATATAAATAAACAGGGCAGAGTTCAAACCTATGTGTAGGAGCATCTTACACACGGATTTGAACACCACCCTGTTTGTTTATACCTTGCCCTTCTCCCCAGTGGTGATCCGAAAGAAGCTTACAGCATTAGAGCCAGTTTGGTGTAGTGGTTAAGTGCACGGACTCTAATCTGGGAGGACCGGGTTTGATTCCTCACTCCTCCACTTGCACCTGGCTGGACAGCCTTGGGCAAGCCGTAGCTCTGATAAGAGCTGTTCTTGAAAAAGAGCAGTTTCTGTCAAGAGCTCTCTGAGCCCCGCTTACCTCACAGAGTGTCTGTTGTGGGGAGGGGAAGGGAAGGGAGTTTGTAAGCTCCTCTGAGACACCTTTGGGTAGTGAAGGGCGGGATAATCCAATCCTTCTTCCTCTTCTTCTTCTTCTCCCCTCCTCCATTTTATCCTCTCAACAACCACCCTGTGAAGTAGATCGACTTGAAAGAGAGTGAATGACCCAAGGTCACCCAGTGATCTTCCATGTTTGAATGGGAACTTGAACCTGGGTCTCCCAGCTCCTAGGCCCATTCTGCATCTAGCATTCGCTCCGTTGTTTTACCTAACCCACACAGGAACAGAAAAAGATGCAGCTCAAAACCACATTCAAATACCCCGGGCCAATGCCATACTGACTGCAGAGTCACCCTTGAATGGCCATAAAACGGCCATGAATCTGTGCAGACGGTACCATGAAACCAAGAGATCAAAGGAAGTGAAACTGGCATGCAGTATAAGATCTGACAATCAAAGAAAGTGAAAGTGGCATGCAGTGTAGAGGGAACTTTCTGTTCCAATGTGGGTTTGGTAAAACAGCGGAGCAAATGCTAGATGCAGGTTGGGCCCTAGTCTGACACTCCAACTACACACCAGACGGTTTCTCAAATGGCTTTTGGTAGCAAATGGCTTTGAGGTCTCACCTGCCCAGTGCAGCGGCGTACGATTCTGTCCATCTACACAGTCTTCATTGGCTCCATGCTGCAGGGAGGCAATTTTTAAAAAATATTAACAGACTTCTCTAATTCGCTACAGCCTAACGGTAGGAGCGCTTTATAAAAATGGCAAGGGGAAAATCAGCACAGGAAAATGCAAATTGCAAAATGTTGTATATAAAAGGATGCCATACAGTTGGGAAATGCTATAGCTTGGATGTTTTCAAGTGGAGGCTGGACGACCATCTTTCGGGTATATTGTATGGCTGTCTCTCGGCTATGCTCCTGCAGAGTGCAGGGGGTTGGACTAGATGACCTGCAAGGTCCCTTCCAACTCTAACATTCTATGATTCTAAGTCACCAGAAAAAGAGTTTCAGTTTTGGAATGTTTGCTACAAAATATGTATCCACATCCTTGTTGTATGTACCCTGGCACTTAGGGATGCATGAAACCCCCAATGGAATTCCACTCTGACATCCATTTCCCTAAAAACACATCCTAGATATAAGATGATAATGTTTGTGTGCCTGTATTTTTGATATCACCTTCTCAGTTTTATTGGAGTTTATTTATAGTACACATACAGTTCTTTCATTGCTGCTCTGTATCATGGCTGTTGTAGTCTTTATACAGCAACTTTTATGCTTGACCATGTGCAGAATAGGAGATATTTATTGGATGAATGTGCAGCAGGTCTCATAAAATTAACACAGGTTTCAGTAAGCCCTTCTCCCCAATTGATTTTTGAAACATGTTTCTACTAATAAAGAACCACACATTTTAAAACCAATTCTGATTTTAGGTAAAACCCAGAGCATATAATGGGATAAGCAGTCTCACTCAGTGACCAGAGAGAAGTCCTTAAAGAATAGTGGTTATGAATTTTAAGTGCGTGTGTAGCCAGGGTTTTTTAAATGGGAGTCAGGGGGCACTGAAATTCGTGGCTTGGAGTGCAGGTGCGTGGCCCCCACTTCTCCCCCAAAGCATTTAAAGGGTCTCTTTAAATGCTTTGAGGGAGAAGCAGGGGGAGGCTTCTTCACAAAAGTCAGGGGCCTTGAAAGGAAGTTGGGGGGCCAGGCCCCAGGAGGCCCCACCGTATCTACAGGCCTGCACACAAGCCAAATAAATAAATAATAATATGTAAATTAGGGGTGTATTTTATCATTTTGTTTGTTTGTTCTGGCTTGTGTTCCATTCCTTCTGAATTCCAGTTGAACTAGAAGATTTTCTAAAAGTAATTCTGGAACTGAAGCTTGTGAACTGTGCCACACCCTTAAGTTCCTTCTCATTTTTCACCCCTGCTGTACTGGTGTCAATAAAACTCTGCAAAAAAATGATCTCAGTGTAGTTTATGTAGGACTGCAGCAAAATTCCTCTTGTGCAGCTTCTACTGGTGCATACATGCCTCCTGCACATCAGTAAAAAGAATCTGATGCAATCCTAGGTCTGATCTCTTGACTTACGTTAGGTTTCTGGCATTTAGCAATGCACACGTTGCTAATGGGAATGCAGCAGATACTGCATGCACCACACTGTGTACAGAATGCAGAAATCTTTTTAAAAAAACACCGAACGATGGAAAATTCCTCATGCATCTGGTCATCTCTGAAACAAGATTCACTTGTGAACTTCAAAAGACAGAAGAAAATTTGGATGAGGAGAATTTTAGAAGCGATGAACATATTTAGGTTTCTTACATTGGTCCAACTGGTTCAGGATAACATATTCTGACTGACAGCAGTTCTCCAAGATCTCAGGTGGCTCCGTTCCCCAATACCTGCTACCCTTTAGAACTCAAGAACTGAATCTTGGAAATTCTCCATGCAAAGTATATTTCTATAATTTAGCTGCAGCCCCGCCTATTAGTATACCGATCCTAATGATTATACAACATTTATTTCATTGGCAGAATCTGGGGGTCTTGACCAATGTTCCCTCTAAGCTGAGTTACTGTGAGCTAGCTCACAGTCTTTTAGCCTCTGGCTCACACATTCTTATCTTAGCTCAGGAAGGACAACTCCAGAGCAAACGAATTTATGCAGCAGCCAAATCGCTCGCTCACAACTTTAATGCCAGTAGCTCACAAAGTAGAATTTTTGCTCACAAGACTCCACAGCTTAGAGGGAGCATTGGTCTTGACCACAAGATATATGTGTATGTTAAGCGCCATCAAGTCTTTTCTGACTTATGGTGATTCTATTAATTAATGACCTCCAAAACGTCCTCTTGTTAGCAGGCTGGCTCAGGTCTTACAAACTGAGTGCCGCGGCTTCCTTGATGCAGTCAATGCATCTCATGTTGGGTCTTCCTCTTTTCCTGCTGCCTTCAGCTTTTCTTAGCATTATTGGTTTTCCCAGTGAGTCTTCTTGTCTTCTCATAATGTGACCAAAGTATGATAACGGTAAAGGGTAAAGGTTTCCCTTGCTCGAAAGCTAGCTGAATCCGACTCTAGGGGTGCGGTGCTCATCTCCATTTCCAAGCTGAAGAGCCAGCGCTGTCTGAAGACGTTTCCATGGTCATGTGGCCGGCATGACTAGATGCCAAGGCGCACGGAATGCTGTTACCTTCCCACTGAAGCGGTACCTATTTATCTGCTTGCAATTTCTTGCTTTCGAACTGCTAGGTTGGCAGGAGCTGGGACCAGAGATGGGAGCTCACTCCGTCATACAGCACTTGGGTCTCGAACCGCTTAACGACCGATCTGCAGTTCAGCGTCTTAACCACTGAGCCACCGCGGTTTAAGTCATTTCAGATTCTAGGGATAATCCAGGCTTAGTGCCGCCTAATGCAAGAATCAACAGAGTCATAAGGTTGCCAACTTGGGAAATACCTGGAGATTTGGGGGATTGAGCCTGAGGGGGCAGGGTTTGTGAGGGGAAGGGACCTCAGCAGGGGATAATAGAGTCCACCCCCCCAAAGCATCCATTCTCTCCAGGGGAACTGATCACTGTAGTCTGGAGATCAG